CCCCAAAACCCCAAAACCCCAAAACCCCAAAACCCCATTTTCTTTTAACTAAGGAGTTAATTATAATTTCAAATTTTCAAGATGAGTAACTTCCAACAACGCTTTAAGGAGAAATATAATATTGACGCATTTAAATTTACAGAGGAGAACTCTACAGACGGGCAAGCAAATGACCTCCATTTAATGCAGGAAGGATATCAGAAGAATATCTTCTCTTGTAGTATGGGCACTCCGATAAGTGAAAGATCAATGAAACTTAAACAGAAAAATCATAGTTATTCTGGATCAGATGCTAATAACAATCACAAGGCTAGTGAGAGTGATGAAGATCCCAAGGAACTTGAGGTTCTACCTCATTTTCAGATTGAAAGTAAAATAATGCAAGCAAGTGAGCTAGTTAAGAACAATTCTAAAATTAGTAAGTTTGTTATTAATTTCTTTTAAATTAACTTTTAGATCAACATCAGAGACCTCCTTTGCATGCTAAGACACATAAAAATTTTCAAAGTTTCCATCAGAATGAAGGGAACTACTTCACTGATAATACTCATAAATCAGATGTCTCCCCAATCCTACCTAATGAAGTCTCACAAAGTCAACAAAAGACTTTAATCATTGCTCCTAGAATATTTTCTTCAGCAAGGAAGGATGAAAACCTAAATCTAATTTCTGAAAGGAATGCTCCTGAAGAATGATCTCGCAGGTAAGTTGTCCAAATATCTAATCCATAAACTATTCCTTTAGCGTGATAGATGGGGATGTCCCAGAGGTCTATTTTCATAGGGAGAAGAAGCCTTCACAAAGCCAAATAGGCTCTAAAAGAAATTCCTCAGTACAACTAGACAAGATGAATAAGAGCTATCTTAGGAGAATTGTTATGGAAGATGATATCCTTGAGACCAATGAAGATAAGATAGACTTTCTCATAGGGGAGATAGAAGTAGCCAACACCAAGATCTCCAAACTTATGGACATTATTGTAAATTTTGTTCGTTAGTATAGAACAATCAAGAAAATGCATCTGTTGGTTCAAATCAATCAAAGAGAAGCCAGTCTAGAGATAAAAGAAAAGAAAGACTGGCAAGGACTCTTGATAGTGAGCTTAGGATTCATCAGAAAGACTCTTTTAGAGTACAAAAAGCTAGCCAAGATTCCTTAAAAGAAGCTAAGAAGTAAAAGATTGTATTAAAATTTAGAATGATTACAGAGCCAATGACTCCAAAGATCCCTGATGATCTCTATCAGTACAAGATACAGATCGAGAATTTAACTAGAGAGAACAAACATCTAAAAGAAATTATTAAGAAGCGAACTGAAGGTAAGACGTGTCAAATTCTCACTGATTTATCTAACCTACTTCTCTCTTAGATGCAAATGAGACAATAATAAAATTAGCTAAAATGAAATAAAGAAGCTGAAGCTCAAAATATGGAGTACTTAAAAACAATTCAGATGCTTGTTCAGAATCAAAAGACATTGCAACTACAGGTATGAATATTCTTGACAAAAATAGGTTGAAAATAGGTCAAAATCAGGTCCAAAGCAATCAAAATCCCATCAAAGTAACTAAATCTTTCACGTATTAGAACTGTCAATGGAACTGAAGGCAGCTCATGATAGATTAAAGATCCTGCAGAAGGAGAAGATAAGTGTTGAAAAAGAATACTCTAAAGCCCTTGAAATTAACCAACAGCTGAGTGAGATTATCAGGTTCAGGACTGCTAAATAAGTTTCAATTATTTTTCCTTCAGATGGGGTTTTGGGGTTTTGGGGTTTTGGGGTTTTGGGG